CCACGTTCAAAGTCACTCAAATCACCTTTCTTCCCCATACTGATGCTCGGTTTGAACTGCAGGAGATTGTCTTGACCATGTCTACTTGCCTAAATGCACCGAGTTGCCGCCATGTGATTGGCTGCTTAGAAATTAAGTGTTAACGAGCAGTTGGACAGGTGTACCTTATAAAGTGGCCGGTGAGTGTATGTAGAAGCAGTGATAGCCATGCTAACTGTGTAGGGGCTGTGATAGCCATGCTAACTGTGTAGGGGCAGTGATAGCCATGTTAACTGGTAGGGTCAGTGATAGCCATGCTAACTATGTAGGGGCAGTGATAGCCATGCTAACTACATAGCTGCCGTGATACCCATGCCAGTCCAGGGAATGACTTCACTTTTACTGTAAGGTACCTTGGCCAAGATGAATGACTGGTGTACCTGACATATAACAACCTTACCATGCATAGTGCTTTAGATTAATAGAACCCAGTTGCAACAATTATAACTAATGGACAACAATCTCAATTCTTTACTCTTGGTAGAGGTACACGCCAAGGATGTCCGCTGTCCCCGCTCCTCTTTGCGATAGTAATAGAGCCATTGGCTATCGCCCTCAGGCAAGCAGACAATTTTCAAGGCATAGAGCGGGGTGGATCACATCACAAACTGTCTCTGTACGCAGACGATTTGCTTCTTTATGCATCTGATCCCAAATTTTCTCTTCCTTTCATTATGGACTTGCTTAACTGATTTGGGGAACTCTCCGGCTATAAAATTCATTTGAGCAAAAGTTTGATATTCCCACTGTATCTAGACGCTACATGTTCTCTTGACATATTTCCATTTAACCTCTTTTACATATCTTGGAATAGAAGTGACGCATAATCTGTCGACGCTTTTCACCAAAAACTTTACAGTTCTTATGGAGAAATGTAGACAAGATTTTGACCGATGGAAAGATCTTCCGTTAGCAGTTACTGGAAAGGTCAATATAATTAAAATGGTTGTATTACCAAAATTTATTTATCATTTTCAAAACATCCCCATTTTCATTAAAAAGTCTTTCTTCAGCTCGCTTGATAAACTTATAAGCACCTTTATTTGGAAAGGAGGATCACATAGAATAAAAAGATCCGCACTTCAGAGACCAAAAAATAAAGCCGGACTAGGGCTCCCAAACTTCATTTATTAATAATGGTCTTGCAATATACAAAAAATTCTTCATTGGGTTCACTTCGACAAAGATCGATGCGACTCGTGGGCTTCCATAGAAAACACGACCAGTCATATGCATCTGGGATCAATGGTCCTTCGACCGTTCAATCAAACTTAATTGTTACTCAAACTCTTAAGATATGGATACAGTTTAGGAAGCACTTTGGGCAAAAAAATACATCTGTAAATGCCCCCATTTGGGGTAACCATAATTTTCCACCTGCTTCCATGGATGCGTCTTATCATTTATGGCACACAAAAGGTTTAAAATGTATATTTAATCTGTTTTCAGAGGGTCAGTTCTTGCTATTCACCGACCTAAGTGAGACATTTGATCTTCCAAGGTCGGATTTCTTCAGATATTTGCAAATTAGGAATTTTGTCCAGAAAAACTTCACTTCGTTTCCAAATATACCAAATAATAATACTCTAGACGATATTCTCTCTTTGTCACCTGCAAAGAAGAGATTAATTTCTACTCTATACAGACTAATAAACAAAGCTCGTCCCGATTCTCTTGAAGAAATCAGAAAGGGGTGGGAAACTGACTTAGGTCTGGCATTTAATGATGAAACTTGGGAGGCCACTCTTAGACGTATACCTGGGTCCTCAATCTGTGCACGTCATGGTCTGATACAGTTAAAGGTGGTTTTGAGAGCTCATTTCACTAATGCAAAACTGGCAAGCATGTATCCCAACTCAGACCCTTCCTGCCCACGTTGTAAAGGTCAACCAGCAGACCATATACATATGTTCTGGTCGTGCCCTGCACTTTCTACTTTATGGTCAAACATTTTTGATGCATATACAAAAATCTTTGGGGAGAAAATGTGGCCTAATCCCATGAGTGCTTTATTTGGAATTACTCCCTCCAACTGTCCCTTATCAAGTAATGCACGTGATGTTATTGCTTTCACTACCCTTATCGCAAGGAGAAGCATCTTGCTCACTTGGAAACGGCAAACCCCTGCCCAGCTTCAGTAGATGGATTAGAGAGACAATGTACTTTCTGAAGCTTGAAAAGATAAGATTTACTTTAAAAAAAACTACACAACAATTCTTAAAGACCTGGAACCCTTTTTTGAATTATTTTGAAGAATTACAAATACCTCTTGACGTGAGTAACGCTGAACACGACTAATTTACTTTATTATTATTATTATTTTGATTATTATTATGTTTTTTGTATGTATTTTTTTTATTTGTACTTATTTATGACCACTTTTTTTTGTTTACTCATAATTTTAATTTTTGTTATGGATGTATGCTTGTTAGCTAATTATTTTACTATTACTTTACTTTTGTAATTGTATTGTAAGCTGCATATTCTAATAGTGAAACCTGGGGGGGGGTTGGGTTGGGTTTTTGGCAAAGATGTATGTACACTATAATAATGGAACTTACTCTCTGCAGATCAATTGTATTCGTTCATCTATGTTTGTAAAAATACTTCAAAATAAAGAAAAAAAAAATTAAAAATAGATTAATAGAATATAATAATTAGGCTATGAATATTTCAAAAAGAAAAAAAATCCAACATCCCCCTTCTTTTTTTTTTACAACTCGACTGCTGAGCATCGGTATCGGCGAGTACTAGCAAATAGGACACTGATGCCATTTTGAGAGCGAAATGTTTATTCAACTATTGTCACCCATTCCAGGTAGGCAATAAAAAAGTTCTACTGGATTCACTTTGTATTAGTATTTTTCCTACTTCACAAAGGTAGGCAGCAGCTTGACAAAGCCATGATGGTAATTATTTTACATCCATCCAGGTATTGGGTATCGTATCAGGGCCAAAAAATGGCATCGGTGCAACACTAGTTACAAATATATCTAAATATCTATATGGAAAGTTTTTCACAATTTAAAAGATATCTACTGGGCCGCAAAGTAATGGTTTATGTTAAAATAAACATTTGGGGTAAAGTTGTTGCTACAAGCTTTTTCTTGTGTTCCTTGCAAAGTTGGTCTTACATTTTTATTTTAAGTGGCAAAAAAAACTCTTAAAAAGTCTTGAATTTAACTTGCCTTATGCTGTAGGAACCCTACCTAACCTCTAGGCCACCACCAAAAGTCCAATCTTCAATTGTTTATAGTTGTCCATAAGTGTCCACAGATTAAGAGTAATCCAGCATATTAGTAATAAAAATGTTCCATGATAAGAAAATCGACCTAATGGTCCTGTTTTTGACATCAGAAAGGTTAGCTGGTCATAGCTAATGCTCAACATCTTGCTAATATTTACCTCTAATACTTATTTCCTTGGTTGTTAGCCCACGATGTTTGGTGTGGTTCTTCACATCGTCTTCTTATCTACAAGACACAAGTGACTGCATCATTTTATGATGCGATTTGAGCCAGATATAGTCCCCAAAATCTCACCTCCGGTTTACACATGTTTTAATGGAAAGTTTTAATCTGCATCCTGTTGAATTCAGCTAAAATCTTTGATTCTTTATTCAGGTTTTGGAACTGCAGTTTCTCAGAGATCAGCTTGGCTTCTCTGGGCTCAGCTATGAAGTCTAATCCATCCCATCTGACAGAACTGGGCCTGAGTGGAACCAACCTGGACCCTGGAATAAAGGAGCTCAGTGGGTTTCTCCAGTCTCCCCTCTGCAAACTACAGAGATTGATGTAAGATGTAGTATATTTGTTTATTCTAATAACATTACAGTGCAAATCTCAGTGTGAAGGTCAATCAGTGAGCTAGTAAAGGATCAATAGGCTTCTTTTTCAGAAGATGCTGCATGAACACATGTCCAACAACTGGGAGGAAAGGGAAAAGGGAGAATTATCAGCCAAACTGTTAAATCAGATTTTTTTTAAGGTGGATGACTCAACAAATGCAGACAGATTTAGTAATTCTCTGGTGTGATACTGTGATGATGATTTGGGTAAAGTGCTGACTCAGCATCTGGCCTTCAGAAAGGTCAATATTTCAGATGTAGTAACTGTCACACCTTAAATAAAATGAATATAAACCTACACAGAAAAATATTATAGGCTTTTATTTTTATGATAAAGATATAAACCATGAAAATAGCTGGAAAAGTTCAGTTTGAAGATGTTAAAGGAAGAATTTGTTTTAAATCACTTTCTTTTTGTCTTCAGTATCTCAGTAGTGCAGTTTGTCTGTATTCCCCTTTTATTGATTATAACATTTTATTTCTAAGAACCTTCAAATCACCCTATGGATAAACATGGTACTGAATAAAATCATAAAAAGATCAATAACAGCAAATCATTAGAACTTCCATTGACTTGGATAGACATAAAAGTCAGAACTGAATGAAGGGATGAGGTTGTGTTTTCAACTCAGAATCTTAGAAACTGATTAAATAGATTTTGTTGAATCTCTGTCAAATGGTCAGATCCAAAAAACACATTTGATTATTTTCTTCATAATGAGAGATTTCCAAAACTTGAGATAAATATTGATTGAGCTGTAACTTCCATTTTTCCTGCTCTGAGTCAGTATTAAGGTTTAATCTCTATCTTTGGTCCGGATTGATCTGTTTCTTTCTGTTCCTGTGATCAAAGACGCACCAGGGTCCACCTCTGCTCTGAAATCAGCCCTGTTCTCTTGCTGCAGGGTTATTTGCTTTTTGTTGTTTTTATTTCTGTGTAATGATGGAGGCAGGCCCACATCCCTGGACTGAGCAGCTGTTCTGTCCTTTAAAGGAAAGGCAAACTGCCAGTCAGTCCCTGCATGGAGCTCCTAGTTCACAGTCACGGTGCCCTGTGTGCACAAATACCAATTTCACTGTCTGTTTTTTTCTTCATTCGTTGTCAGGTTATGGTAGAGAAGGCAGCCATTATATGAAATACAGTGAAAGTTATCTAATTAGTTTTTGATCAAAATGTTTAAATGTGATGTGATTCTGGGCCACCACCATCACACTCATCAGTTCAGGCTGATGAAGGCCCTGTCCTGCAAACCTTACTGTCATTTTCCACCTTTAGAGCCGTTTGAATAGAGAGTTTTGTTTCCGTAGTTTCTAGCGTCTCCTCTGGGCTTAATCTCAATCTCAGCATGGTAGCAGCTGCATACCGGTGTGATACTATATTCAATGACCCTGGCCAAAGAGAGAATTTGTTCTGCGATGCTGTATGATTGTCAGTGAGGAAAATAATCAATGGTCCTTGGACTAGTGTTTTTCACGTGCCGGAGTCACATATTCTGCTATAATGTTTTAATAGAAAGTTTTAATCTGCATCCTGTTGAATTCAGCTAAAATCTTTGATTCTTTATTCAGATTGAGGGACTGCAGTTTCTCAGAGATCAGCTGGGCTTCTCTGGGCTCAGCTCTGAAGTCTAATCCATCCCATCTGACAGAACTGGACCTGAGTGGAACCAAGCTGGACCCTGGAATGAAGGAGCTCAGTGGGTTTCTCCAGTCTCCCCTCTGCAAACTACAGACATTGAGGTCAGATGTAGTATATTTGTTTATTCTAATAACATTACAGTGCAAATCTCAGTGTGAAGGTCAATCAGTGAGCTAGTAAAGGATCAATAGGCTGATGATTAGAAGAGCAGGTTACAACTCTCAGAAGGAGGACAGACATGTTTAGAAAATAAAGGCCTCAGTTTGTCTGAAACTCCCCAACATACGGAGTGACTACTGGTCTGGGTCCGGGTTTGGGTTCTGCTGGAGTCCTGTTTGGGTAAAGGTCAATCAGTGAGCTAGTAAAGGATCAATAGGCTGCTTTTACAGTTTATTTGTCTTCCCCTTTTATTGATTATAACATTTTATTTCTAAGGACATTCAGATCATCCTATGGATAAACATGGTACTGAATAAAATAATAAAAAGATCAATAACAGCAAATCAGCAAAACTTGCCTTGACGTGAATAGACATAAATGTCAGAACTGAATGAAAGGATGAGGTTGAGTTTGGCCTCGTATGTTCATAGGATTGATTTCTACTGAATGAGACATGTACCAATAACGTATCCAACGTATTCCAGCATTTTTGCCAGATTTTTTGTAAGTCAGATGTACGCAGGATAAACTGTCAAGGTGTGACAGGGGCTTTAGAGGGTAATAAGCCACATCATTTCATTGAATGCTTTGTCCAGAAGGTTTCAGCTCCCATGTGAGTGCCATCTGATGGAGGAATAAAGTATTGCAGATACAACTCAGATTTCAGCATTATATATCGGTTCTGCCTGTTCCAGACACTTGACTAGTATCTTTCTCTGATTTTGACTTAAAATTAATTAAATAGATTTGAGATGATTACAGAAGCAAACACTGACAGTGAATGCTGCAGGATAAACAAAATCCACCAGTAAAACAAACTTCAGATTTGCTCTCAGTTCTACTTCTTTGATTGCCTGCCTGAAGTTTTAATTAGTTGGATCAGAAGAATTCAAGAAGAGTCTTGCTTAATTTGAGAAAACAGAGCGCCAGAAAAAAACTAAAAAAAGCTGCTTTTTCTCAGGACATTGAACACTGCCTGATCTAAAAAGCTGCATTCAATGAGCAGAAAGAGCATTGATTTTTTTGTGTGTGTTTAGCAACACCTCTTAAAACAGCGCATTAAACTACTGGAGTTTATGGCATCCCTTTGAGGTTAAAAAGTAAAAATAATAAATTATGTTGAAATTAGAAGTAGATTTAAAAAGTATATGTTCTTGGCCGTAACAAACGGCGCCGTAGTGAGTGCTCAGTTGGTTCAGCTATGTAACCTGCTCAGGTTGTTTTTCCTCCATTAACTGCTCAGCAGAGCTGAATTGATCACATCCAGCTAAACAGTCAGCTTAGTCAGAAGTCAGATTGTCGAAAGTTTATAAACGTTTTGGCCTTGGAGAATATTTATCTGTTAGTATTATAAGGGGAAGAATGTGTATTTTCATATTTAGACCTACGTGTGTGTTTTCAATGTATACAGCTTACCCCGCTAACGTTAGCTCATGCTAAGATCCTAATTCATGTAAACATGCTAACTTCTGTCATTTTATTCATTCATGGAGGCTAACTGAAATATACTTATATTATGCTTACTCATACTGTGATTAAAGTGAGTAAAGTTTGCCTTATTCCTGTTTTCTTCAAATTTACGGTAGTTCTGGAATGACTTCATTAAAGGACTAGAAACGTCAAGCCTTGTGGATTTTTGGAGGGCTTCTAGCTAACCGTTATCTGGCTGTCTAGCCTTGCATCGGCACATGCACTGCGAGGGCAGCACAGTGGGACTTTTAAGGAGGAATTTTTCATGGCTTTCTAACCAAACGCCGGGTAAAAGGATCCAGTTTGGTCCCTTTAAGCTTGCCTTATGTAGTGTAGTGATCACATGGCTGAGTTGGAGGAGGATGACAGCAGCTTTGGAGGATAATGGCGGCCGTGTGCTCTGTTAGTCCAGTTAGGTTTAGGTTCAGCGGTGCCCTGCCATCCAGCCTCACCTCAGCGAGTTCCCCTGTTCTCTGCTTTGGTGAGAGAGGTCCTGCATTATCTGCACTCAGGGGCCTGTTGCTGGTACCTGTTCTGGAAGCAGATCCATTTTCAATTCCCCCACAAACTGGACCCAAGGATAAACCAAGAATCCTTTAATATGATTCAAAACTGAACCACTCATCTGCTTCAATCTATTTCCCTTTGGACCTTGAACTCATCTCTGTGATCTCCCCCCTAGAGTTTCCGGTTATGGTTCACCAGACCGCTTGATCCCCCACTGAGAATAAGCAGTTTTATCAATCTCTCTCTGAATTTTTGTTACCACAACAATAAACTGTTAACCCTTCCATGTCTCTGACTCGATTTCTGCATGTGGGTTAGATCTTTGACACCCATCATGACAGGCTGAAACGTTCCTTTAAGGCTGCAAAATTCTTCATAATTTTAATGATAAACAGCAAAATATGAGAATTTTTTTTAACAGATGCATGATGTTGACAGATCAGTTTTAAACCCAGTTTAGTAGGTCAGTTACTTAGAAACAACTCCTATATCTGTCACATGACTTTCTGGAAACAACACATGCATGGATACAGTGGTTTGCTCTATGGGCTCCACGCATGCACTGACGCATCGCTGTTGCTGGACCCATCACTAATGTGGAGAGCAGATGTTCATCAGATGATGACATCACTGTTTGCTCATCATGTTTTAGTCTGTGTTTATCATCCAGATTGTCTGATTTCATTAGAACTGACTTTATTTCTCCTCTAATCACAGACTTGGTGGGTGCTCTCTCTCTGAGGCTGGATGTGAAGTTGTGGCCTCAGCTCTGAAGTCCAACCTTCATCTGACTGAAGTGGAAATAGAAACGATCTATGGAGATGGATCCTTTGGAGACTCTGGAATGAAACATTTGTGTGAGATACTGGAGAGTTCAATCTGCAAAGTGAAGAAACTGAGGTGAGTTTTCTCTGTTTATTCAAACCAAATCATTCACTGATACTTTAATCCTGATTTTAATTCATCATTCATCGTTTACGGGGAGTGGCAGCCTAGTGGTTAGGGCATAGGGCTTTGAATCCTGAGATTGTGAGTTCGGTCCCACACTCCCACAGACTGCCACTCTGGGTCACTGAGCAAAACCCTTAACCTCACACTGTTCCCGGGCGCCGCGCAATGGCAGCCCACTGCTCCCCAAGGGGATGGGTTAAATGCAGAGAAGTAATTTCCCTCTGGGACTATAACAATACATATGCATCCAAAGATGCTTCTCCTTCATTCACCCTGAGTGAATGTAGCCTTGGCCAGGAGGAATCAATGTCATCAGGTTGCATCCACCGTTCACTGGCTGTTTCGACCCTGAACCACAACAGCCTCCTAGTGGTGGGTTGGCATCCTGAGAGCTGCAACCTTTCTTTCCCCCCCTCCCAATCCAGTGGCTGTAAACATTCTCCATACAGACTGGGCAGGGAACCCTTGACAACCGACCTCGAATGGGAACAACCATTTTGCCTTTTGCAGTAGACTAGGTTTTGCTATAACTGAGATTGGTGGCTTTTCCCCTTCCCTTACAAACTGGAGTGATGTTGCCTTTGGATGTTTCTGCAGTTTCTTCTTCCTCTCCTGCTCTAGGGTGTTGGCAAGTGTCATGAGCACCTTGTCATGGCGCCACCTGTATCTTCCTTGGGCAAGTGCAATTTTGTGCATGGTGCCCCAATGATGTCACGGATCTTCAGCATGCTTTCCGCCTGTGTGACCATTGGCTCTGCTCCCCACTTGCGGCCGGATCTCGTGACGATCCCTGCTGTCTGACTTGGTCATCGGGGGAGTCTCTGTAGGTCATGACGACTCTGCACTTGGCAACTTTAAACTCCTCCACCACGGATGTCAGAGGAAGTTGAAGTTGTCCTGATCTTATGTACAGGCCTACTGACGTGAAGCTTGGAGGAATCCCCAGCCACTTCCGGAGATACTTATTGACTTTCCTCTCCATGGCTGGCTGGCTGGCTGGCTGGCTGGCTGGCTGGCTGGCACCTAGTTACTGAACTTAAGCAGCTTTAAGCAGCTTATTTACTTATTTACTTCAGTATTTGTTTTTCAGAATCCTTTTTTCTTTTCCTTCCTACATTTGAACCCAAATATCTGGACTTTCTACTCCTTTCACTTCAATCTATATCATCCTGTCTGAAAGTAGAATCTAGAAAAGGCGCAAAATTAACCTGGTTTCTCAACAAAGAAATTATTTTGAAGAATTAAGTTTTTAAAAGTTATTTTTTACCTTTGAAAGCAAGACTTCATTTTAATTTAGTAGAACCCGAAAGTTACAAAAAAAACGTTTTCATTTCTTTCTTTAACGTTTTTTAAACTATCTAAAAGATAAGAAAAGCTTTTCACTGAAGATCATTAAGCTTTTGAGTTATTTAAGAAAAGCCTTTATCTGAATGTTTGATCATCTAATAAAAAACATTTTTAAACTCAGAGAATCTTAGAAACTGATTAAATAGATTTTGGTGAATCTCTGTCAAATGGTCAGATCCTAAAAACACATTTGATAATTTTATTCATGATTAGAGATTTCCAAAACATCAGCCGGCTACAGTTCATTCTTTCTGTCCACTGAACTGCTGCTGGTTTTACTCAAATGCCTGGAGGATGTCTAGTGCTACTACCACAGATGATCTCGCTCTCCAAATGGTATTGAACGATTCAGATTAGCTAGCCGAATGAATAGAAGGGGTAGAGCGTAGCCGCCTGTGGCCCGGGCTGCCTGTTACAACTCCAGCCCGGCGTGTGGATGACATCATACACACTCTGCTTTGTTTTTAAAACATATAAATATAGAAAATATAACCGCGGATGTCTGGGGGTCAGTGATTCGCCTATATGTTATGAATGCTGGCGTACCATAAAGAATAAATTACGAACAGTTTAGTTTGTGCCTTCAACTCATTGCCCATAGGAAGACGTTACTTGGATATAACCTGATGGAATATCTTCAGAACGGCTCCAAATGACACAAAACTTATGGGTAAGAAGAACATGATGTAATAAGGTAAAATCAAGGAGCCAATGTAAAAAAAAAAGAAGTTTCCCTTTAAGGTTTAATCTCTATCTTTGGTCTGGATTGATCTGTTTCTTTCTGTTCCTGTGATCAAAGACGCACCAGGCTCCACCTCTGCTCTGAAATCAGCCCTGTTCTCCTGCTGCAGGGTTATTTCCTTGTTGTTGTTTTTATTTCTGTGTAATGATGGAGGCAGGCCCACATCCCTCGACTGAGCAGCTGTTCTGCCCTTTAAAGGAAAGACAAATTGCCAGTCCGTCCCTGCATGGAGCTCCTAGTTCACAGTCACGGTGCCCCGTGTGCACAAATACCAATTTCTCTGTCTGGTTTTTTCTCCATTCATTGTCAGGTTATGGTAGAGAAGGCAGCCATTATATGAAATACAGTGAAAGTTATCTAATTAGTTTTTGATCAAAATGTTTAAATGTGATGTGATTGTGGGCCACCACCATCACACTCATCAGTTAAGGCTGATGAAGGCCCTGTCCTGCAAACCTTACTGTCATTTTCCACCTTTGGAGCCGTTTGAATAGAGTTTTGTTCCCGTAGTTTCTAGCATCTCCTCTGGGCTTAATCTCCATTTAAGTATGGTAGCAGCTGCGTACCGGTGTTATACTATATTCAGTGACCCTGGCCAAAGAGAGAATGTGTTCATTGATGCTGTATGATTGGGCCAGCACAGTGTCAGTGAGGAAAATAACCAATGGTCCGTGGACTAGTGTTTATCACGTGCCGGGTTCACATATTCTACTGGAATGTTTTAATGGAAAGTTTTAATCTGCATCCTGTTGAATTCAGCTAAAATCTTTGATTCTTTATTCAGATTGTGGGACTGCAGTCTCTCAGAGATCAGCTGGGCTTCTCTGGGCTCAGCTCTGAAGTCTAATCCATCCCATGTGACAGAACTGGACCTGAGTGGAACCAAGCTGGACCCTGGAATGAAGGAGCTCAGTGGGTTTCTCCTGTCTCCCTTCTGCAAACTACAGACATTGAGGTCAGATGTAGTATATTTGTTTATTCTAATAACATTACAGTGCAAATCTCAGTGTGAAGGTCAATCAGTGAGCTAGTAAAGGATCAATAGGCTGATGATTAGAAGAGCAGGTTATGACTCTCAGAAGGAGGACAGACATGTTTAGAAAATAAAGGCCTCAGTTTGTCTGAAACTCCCCAACATACGGAGTGACTGCTGGTCTGGGTCTGGGTTTCTGTCTGCTTTGAGGAAAGCCAAGTTAGGAGAACCACATTGCTCTAGGGCCCGTCTGGTGTGTTATTTCTCCTTCTCTCTGCTGAAGTCAGTAGGTCTTTATTGGAGCAGCAGCATGTTGGCATTAATATCAATGAGAGCTCTTTAACTGCTTCTGTTGGACTGTTCTATCCTGCATCCTGTTGGATCAGCTCACATCTTTCTATTCTTTATCCAGGTTGGTTAACTACAGTTTGTCAGAGATCAGCTGTGCTTCTCTGGTCTCAGCTCTGAAGTCAAACCCCTCACATCTGGAACACCTGGACCTGAGGTTCAACAACCTGAATGAGTCAGATGTTAAGCAGCTGCAGGATCTTGTAGAGAGTCCAGACTACAAACTGAAGTCTCTGTAAGTAGATGTTGCAGTGAGTCCAGCTGCTCCTCAGCTGCTCTGAACAGGACTGAAGTCCCTGCTGCTCTTTATCCTGGATGTGCTGCATCACTGACTGACAGCTGATGGAGAGAGAGAGGCTGGAAACACTCATTTACTCCCTCTGTTCATCCTTCTTCTCTCTGCAGGTTGTGGAGATGATGATCTTAGTAGAGGAGAGAAGCTGATCTGTGTCCTGATGATCCCAAGGGGTTGAAGCTGCAGCTGTTTGAGTTTAAAGAGACTCTGACTGGATCTTGATTGTGAACTCTGAGTTTAAAGATTTGTCTCCACTTTATTTGATCCTGTCTGTCATTTAGTGTCTGATTTTATTTTTCTCTTTGGAACAAAAGAGATGAAATTCAAACTAAGCTCCATTTAGTGGCTCCATGGAGGTTTGATCTGAATTGGATCAAACTGTAAAGCTGATCTTTTTTTCTCTCCGATTGATTTTCAGCCTGTAACTCAGAAATCTGATATAAAGCTCAATTCTAAAGTTTTCAGGCTGCATGTTTGCTTCATTGTGATGCAGTTTTTGTATATTTTTGATTCTGTTCCAGATGTTTTCCGCAGATGTTTGGGCAGCTCTCCTCATCCAATCTGTTGCTGCAAAGAGGTTATGATGGGGGGGGGTCTATCCAGACATAGCTCTGCTGCTGCTCCAGGTGGTTCACTGCAGAGTGGAGAGCTACGACGATGGCGTCCTCTGGAGATCTGTTCACATCCAAGTAGGCAGGACAGGATGACTGCCTGGACCAAGGAGAGGATTAAGATCCTGCTGATCAAACTTAGTCTATGTTTGATAAAAATAACAATCTACATAATTTTATTGTAGATTAGTGGTGAAATACTAAGTCAAACTACCTCATTATGCCAATCCAGGTGTAAGATTTAAACACCCAAATACCTCTAAAATATTTGGGGAAGAAGGACAAGAGACGTTAGATTCTTTTTACCCAAGGGGAGAGCAGCAGCGATGGTATCAGTTACACTCTCCCAATGCTCTGAAGCCCCTATGCTGTCTTCCTAGCTCTTTATTGGAAAAAGAGAGTCCCTAGTTACAACAGATCACACTGTAACTGTAAAGGAATGTGTGCGGAGGAAGCTGCAGCATAATATAGTGATATACATACATTTCTTCATTCAGATAGCAACCTTGAGTTATACACATGAAAAAGAATGGCTTCAACATTTCCCCCCCTGTTTATCATGTTTTAAGCATCTTCATATTTTCACTTTAAACATTCACTTCACATAATTTTCAGCCTGAAGTTCATTATTTAGTAAAATACATTTACGCTCAGAGAGCGAAAAGGGCTTTCATGTCTATACTGTTGCTCAGCCAGCTAGTTTTGGTGAAACTGTTTACACTGCTTCAGAGAATGCTTGTACTCTTTCTGCTTCTTGGATATTAAGACCTTGTACTGCTAAACCCTGCTGATCTTCTCATGCAGCTCTTTTTCAAGCTCGGTATTCTTCAGGACAGCCACACCGTATACTGAGTTTTTCCCCTGCAGCTGTTTCTCTAGTGCTACTGCCTTTGCATTCTTTATTTTTAACCCTTTGTGCAGTTCAGGGTTTGGTTGACTCGGTCAGGCAGCTCTGTTTGGAGTTTCTGGTAGTGTGAGGCTCTCTGGGCCATCAGGGAGGAGACCTCCTCTTGAGCTTGGCACAGTTGCTCCAGAAACCGCTCGTTCAGGCTCCTCTGTTTCAGCCACTCCGTCTCCTTCACCTCCAGAACCTGCAGCAGCTGCTGGTAGCCATAGTTCCAGCAGATGTGCAGCTCCTGCATAGTCCACTGGGTGCAGCATGCACTGGAGCTGGAGCAGAGCAGCCCTGCAGGAGCCTCCTGTAGGTGCAGCAGCGCCAGCACTGCCTCCAGACTGGCCAACTCTGCACTACTGAGCTTCCCCCTGGTTCTGGGCCACCTGCTGTCCTGTCATGAGTCAGAACCTGAAGCTCCTCAGCCTCCCTGCTCAGGGATAACACTTCCCTGGCTGCTTCATCTCATTCTGAGAGCTGATGCTCCAGCTGGGAGGCTCTGCATCCCGCCTCCTCCACCTGGGCTATGAGGGGAGCAGCAGCAGCTCCTCCTGCAGCCGACCTACAGTCTGGTTCTGCTCAGCTTATCAAAGCAATCCTGTTCTGGAAAGCCATAAAGGAGGTTGCAGCAAGCTGATAATGAACCGCTGCAAAACCACTTTTGTGTCAAATTTGACCTAGAAGTCAAATTTACGGTTACCAACAATCCATGTTTTTTCTGTGTTGGAGGCACATACCAAATAAAAGGAATTATTGACATGAGTGTGAAGATAAAAAAGCAGATGGAAAACATTTTGACTGAAATTTTGGCTCCTTTACTTGGTTTGGTTTACCGCTTTTTCTTCACTGACTTTGAAATCCACCCAAACTCCAAATGTCTGAGTCCATCCTATTATCAGACTTTCAATCACCTCCCCTGGCGGAGCTTTCAGACTAAATGACTCTTTTATAATGTGATCCATGAATCCAAGTAGATCTCCCAATGTCCTCAATACATTTCTTCAATCTGTTTGGTTTTTTGTTTTGTTTTTTACATTAATTCTTTCTACTAGTCCAACACTAAATCAATGTGAAACAGTTCTACTATCTCTTGCTATGTAGTTAACAAAATTGGCTCCATTATCACTATATATCCTCTCAGGAATACCATATCTAGGAATAATGTCCTTTGCAACCTTCAAAGCATCAGGATGCTTAGCAGGAAATAGTTCTATCCATTTTAAAAAAAGAATCTTTTATGACCAAACAGCATTTCTTCCCTTTAATGATTTAATTCTATAAAATCCATATATCCACAGTGAACACTAACTGTTCCTGAGCCACAGCTCCACCTGAAGAAAAGGAACCCCACAGCATGATGCTGCCAACACTGTAATTCACTATGATTGTGATGGTCTGTGCTGTGTAATTACCAAGACCTCTAACTATATGCAGATGTGCAGCACACACTTCAGGGATAGATAAAACCTCCCTAGGAAATACATTTGCAGATAAAACAGTAAAACCAGCAGCCATGGGATAAATACAGATATTGATTATAGAACAAAGTACTAATCTAGATCTAAACCATGGCTCAATATAACTGCCCATTTCTATAAGATCCTTGGTGGGATGGGTTTATTTTCTGGTCATATATAGATGTCATTTTAAGTTAACTCTTATGTTTCATCAAAAAATGTTTCTGGAGATATGACTGTTGCATATCTTTTAATAGCATATCCTTTGAAGTTCAAGTTCTGGAAAGACCGAGCCAAAGTCCAGAACCAGATCTGACAGAACAGCAGAAGGAAAAATCCCAGTAGCAGGCAGTGCTGGTCTGTTATTCATCTACAGCCTCACATCTGCAAGCATCACCTCCAGCCTCAGCAGCTGATGGTTGAGTGTTAACCTCAGGAACTTAAGCTGCAGCATCAGCATTTAACCAGCTTCTCTCAGCTCCTTTAAACAAGACTTCATCCCGTCTGTTTTAGCAGAACCATGAGACACACAGACCCAACTGGAGACCTGAACACACTCACTTTAGCCAGAGATGCTGCCAGCTCCATGTCCAACAGCCACTCTTCCTTCTTTCTTCTCAACTGCTCCTCCAGAGCAGGTTTCTCCCTCAGCAGCTTCTGACGAGCCATAAGAGCAGCTGTTCCAGCCTCAGCTCTTCATCTTGATGATGATGATGTAGACAAAGATTTACTCACCACCAAAACTGAGTGTTTTTATCTCCTGCTATTGAAGCTGATATGTTACAAAATAACTAAAATGTTACAAAATAACAAAAATGGGCAGATACCAGATGCTACACCCGATATATCCTGCATCCGTACTTGAATGGTAATAAAATATGGTTTACATGACAGTTTATTCTGAAAGCAATATTAATAACCATTAGAACATTTACTATAGGAACTACAACTCATTTAATCAGAGCTTTGCCTCACCAATGACTAAATCTACCTCCTGGCATTAACCTCTGTCCTGCCTACAGAAGGAGTTCATCACTTTGAAGCAGAATCTGAGGGATGAGATCAGATTTAGGGAACAAATCCAACTGCTCACTGATCACTTTCTCACTAGTCCATGCTCTCCATCACCTGCTCACTGATCATGTGGAAAGAGTCATCATCCAGCTGCTCCACCTACTGCAGGTACTTCCAGCATCTGGAACTGGATCCACTGAGCCATCTGCTGTTGACAAAAAGCAGCTGCAATCTAATAGATCATAGAAAATAAATCCTAGAATCAATATTTACCAGAACTAAGAGTTTGTATAAAGAAGGTCTAATACAAAAGTTAGAGTCATTCTGCAGAGATGGAGATACAAGCTTTAACCACAAACCTCTGAAAAAGTAGAACGATGGATGAGGAGAAAAATCAGAAGTTCCAGTTTATCAAATGTTCAGGTTGAACCGAGGAACATGTCCTGAATATTTCCTGTAGAGGTCTCTGCAGAATGGAGGAATGTGATTGGTCTAGTCAAAGGCTCAGGAAGTAGGTATTCCTAATAAGGAGAGAGGAGAGCACAGATTGGAGCTAACGTTTAATAAGTTCATGAGTTAAAGAATGAAAACTGTAAATATTCATTCTCTGACATTTATTGAATCTGTTTTTAGCCGAATCACGTCTTGAGTTTGATTTAAAGGAATCTTTTTTGGTGGACGTGTTTCTGTTGGGAAGAGTTGATTTAATCTTAATATTAACTCATCAAGTTTAGATGAGGCAGCATGATCTTCTAGAGCTTTAACACATAGATTGAAACTATAGAACAGATGGAAATAGATCCATTTAGATTCATATCAGAAGTTTGGACAAAACAGGGATTAAAACCAGACAACGACTGATGCAAAGATCCAGAAATATGCAGCAATACCTGAACTCTAAAAGTTCCACCCTGTGGGGCAGAAACTCAGCTGCCTACACTGACACTATGTGGAATAGTCAGTCCATCCTGAACCTGCTAACTGCTTGTGTGGCTCCTGCCATGAAGTGTGAATACTGCTGATGGTTCTTTAGCTTCACTGTGGAGGGATGCTGAACCACTCTGATTGGCTGGATCATTTGAAGTCAGGAACATTGGAGCGTTTTCCAGCATGAAGGACCAGTTTAAGGTAACGGCACAAGGTCAGCTCTAAATCTAGATTTTGACTAGGACACTCCATCAGCTTCAGTGTGTCTGTTCTGGTTCTGAGAGGAGGGCTTTCTGATGGACTTTGGAGAACTGTCCTCAGTGATCTGGAGCTGAAGGTCACCAGCTGATGGTCAGATCTTCTTCTTACAGGTTTTCTGCTAAAGCTCTGAATTCATTGTTCAATTAAAGCATCAAAGCAGCCCCAGACCATCACACCACCACCGCCGTGTCTGACTGTCAGTATGACGTCTGGGCTGATCTCACAGCAGATGAAGCCATGTTTTCTGGTCTGAATGAGTCACATCTTCTC